ATAAAAGGCGCGCGTCCTGGTTTTAATTCTTGCGCGGCCCCCTGGGCGCTGCTGTGGGTGAGTGCTGGTGAATTAGCGCGGCCAGTTGCGCTGGAAGAGGGAGAGTAATTGCTTTTGCTAATTTTAGCGCGCAGCGCCCGCCGGGCTCCCACAGCCTACCTGTTCAAGAACATCTCTGTCCTCTGCAGGCTGGTGGGCGACCTGGGGTGTGGGATCCCCAGCTGGTTTCTTCCTTTAAGAAAGTTTTTTTTTTTTTTGATTGGCATAGATTAGTTATGCCTAGTGGGTGCCATTATGCGGTCGGTCTTCGTACTTGCATACGGTGTATTTTGATCACACCACCCTCCCATTTCTCGCTCTTTTCCCCCCTTCCACTCCCACCGATTGGGTTCCCTTCCCATTTCCCAGTTCGTCTCCCTTCAGCTTCAATGCCCACCCTCCTCCTTTTTTGGTGGCCCAGTGAGTTTAACTAGGTTTCTTTCAGGAGCATGGGTTGCTTACCGGTGGCACGCCACTGAAGAAACCATTACCTGCCCGTAAATACTCGTTAGCGCCCACGATCCCACTTTTCTGCTCTCTTCTTAGCAACAGTTTACTCATTCATCCAGATGGTTTGATTTTGTGGTTTTGAAAGAGAAAAGAAAACCTACTGATAATTTCCAAATTATTTTAAATATATGTGGATACGAAGACGAGTATTAATATATTTTTACATTTGAACACTTGAACCTCCATAGTTTAAAAAAATAAAGATAAGCCGGACGGTGGTGGCGCACGCCTTTAATCCCAGCAGAGGCAGAGGCAGGCGGATCTCTGTGAGTCCCAGCCCAGCCTGGTCTACAAGAGCTAGTTCCAGAACAGCCTCCAAAGCCACAGAGAAACCCTGTCTCGAAAAACCTAAATAAATAAATAAATAAAAAGATAATTCATTTTATTTATTTATTTTTGACAGGGTTTCTCTGTGTAGCTGTCCAGGAAATCACTCCATAGATCAGGCTGGCCTCGTACTCAGAGATCTGCCTGCCTCTGCCTCCTAGCACTGAGATTAAAGTCAGACACCACTATCCCTGGCTGAGATATTTAGAAACCTTAAATTTAGAAGCTCTAGTAAGTTAGTCACTTTTTTTTCCTTTTTACCATCTTATTTATTTACTCATAATTTTATTATTATGAAATAGTAATATTTTTAGTTTTTTGCTATTTTGTATAGTTTTTGTTTGTTTGCTTTACCTACCCAATTAAGGAACCCATTTCATGCTGAGCTTGGTGGCCCTTGATTTTTAATTCCAGCACTCTGGAAGCAGAGGCTTGGTCTACATAGTGAATTCGAGGTCAGCCAGGGCTACATAGTGAGATCTGTTTCAAAAGAAAAAAAAAATTCTTTTAGAGCAACATGCTCATGGCCTCACTTTATGTCTTGACTGAAAGAGTATCTGTTTCATGGTTTTAACTAAGAAAGCACTGAGATAACCTTTTCTTCCTTTGTCTCACTCTACTAGTTTAACAGGGTCTTGTGTAGCCCTGGCTGGCCTCAAATTCTGGCTCCTCCTCTCTCAGCCTCTCCAGTCCTGGGGTTACTGATATGGCATCATAGACAGGACCAGCAGGTCAATTTTGTTGTGGATTTGACGAGGTGGCCCAGGCTTCTTTGAAGTCACCTTGCCCTTCTGATCTTTCTGTTCCCATATACAGCCACATCTAGTTTATTCAGTGCTGGGAATCAAACCCGGGGCTTCCCTACATGTTAGGCCAGCCTGCTACCAACTAAGTTACATCCCCAGGCCAGCAGTAAAGCAATTTCCCTTGGGAAAGCCTTTTCAGTGACTGAATCAGATACACAACTTTTAATTAAAAATTTAAAAAAATGAATTTAAAGTACTTATTTTAGGTGTATGTTTTGCTTGCATGTATGTGTATGTACCACACGCATGCCTGATGCCCGTGATGTTCCGAAGAGGATGTTAGATTCCCTGGAGAAGTTAGGGATGGTTGTGAGCTGCCATGTGGGTGCTGGGAACCAAACCCCAGGTCCTCTGCAAGAGTAGCCAGTGCTCTTAACCACTGAGCACTCTCTCCAGCCCCAGATACTTAGTTTTTTTTAAGGTTACCTTATTTCCTTTAGACTTGGGCTTCTAGGTTTTTTGGGTTTTTTTTTGCTTTTTGGCTTGAGGCCTATGAACAAGTTGAGTTCCTTCAGCCTTGTAGAGGTCACTGTTTCCAGCTTAGTGTGTATTCAAAGTGGAATTGTATAGCTTCCTCATGGAATGCACAGCTTTGCAAAGCAAGAAACAATGTGCACCTAAGAAACTAGAACAACATAAAAAGTAGCTAAAGGAAAGCCTTGCAGTCTGCAGTCGGTATGGTGGGGGTGGAGTGCAGGCTCTGTTCCTTTGCTGCAGAACTTTAGGATTTTCTGAAAAAACTTTGCACCTGAGCAGGGCCTGGAGAGTGTGAGAGTCACACCTCCAAACAAGGGTAAAGGAGGAGCACACATGCCAGGCAGAGAAAAGTGGGTGGAAGTGGGGAGCAGTAACCTGACTGTTGCAGAGTGAAAGGTTGAGCTGGATCATAAAGCTGATGAGATCTAAGCCTTTGTTTCGTAAGAAAGAGAAGCTTACAAGTGACTTGGGATGAGAGGTGGAGGCCAGAAAGCTGGAGATGGTTCGCTTCCTCATTGAGGGTGAAAGGAAACCAGGTCTGAATTACCCAGAGTTGAGGTCCTCCAGGCTGATCCAGTAAATAGACATAGGTGGAGAAGTGTTTGGCAGAGACCTGAACAGCACTAAAGAATATGCCTGAGCTGTAGTGTGTGGGCCCTACTTGCATACTATGGCTGAGGCTAATACAAATATGGGCTCCAGGTTGCCAGATCTGATTTTCAAAAAGAACAAGATCTAGATTTTTTACCATAAAAATCTGTTGTTTTAAATGTGAGTTACCAATTCAAAACAACCAACAAACAAAAAAAATTGAAACAAAATGAAACAAAAAGCTTGCCTGTAATTCTATCTTTAACCCAAGCTAAAAACTGTGTAGCTGTGTTGTTATTCCTTTGCCTGTGTTCAGATGATTTCTGCCAGAGTTGATACATGTACAAAATGAGTCCATATTAAATATTAACAGCATATACAGATTTCATAATGAATTTTCATACTCTGATTTCTTCCAACAAAACTGGCCTTTTCCCTGCATTTTGTATGCCATACATACACATCTCTGCCTGCTTCCTAGGAGCTTAATTCTGATTTTCTTCCAATACTTTCTTTAGCTATCAAGATTGATTTTCTTTTTCAAAAAAATCAAGAAAAGATTTTCTTTTTTTTTCTCTTTAGTTTTAAGCTACAAGACTTAATCATGAGTGACCAAATCAAATTCATTGTGGACAGCCTCAATAAGGAACCTTTTAAGAAGAACTATAACTTAATCACATTTGATTCTCTGGGACCAATGCAACTATTACAAGTTCTCAATGACGTTCTGGCTGAGATCGACCCCAAGGTAAATTTTCTCTTAATTTCCTTTCTGTTGTTGTTGCTTTTGGGCTGTTTTGTTTCTTGTTTTTTCAACACAGGGTCTCTGTAACCCTGGCTGTCCTGGAACTCACTCTGTAGACTAGGCTAGCCTTGAACTCACAGAGATCTGCCTTCTTCTGCCTCCTGAGTGCTGGAAATAAAGGTGTGGCTAAGTTTTCTCTTTCTTTGTAAGAAAAAGTGTGTTAGGACAGCACACCTTTGCCTCTAACCTTTATGGGTCTGCAAAGCCCTCCCCGGGCCCCATTTACTCTGCTTGTAAAGAAGCAGTCATGACCTTTTAGGCCTCTCTACCAAATCACATTTCAGTTATCTACTACACAAATTTATTTTTTTTAATGAAAACAAACATTAATAAACAATATTTGGGAATTTGGGCATTGTTCATTCCAAACTGGTTCCTGATGGTTGGGGGCGATGTCCATACCATGGGGATCATGATAAAAATACAGAAATCCTGGCTGTAGTCCTCTATCGCTGCATCATCTCAGCTGTTTTGGATGTAGGATCAGTTGGGTCACTGCTTCAGGGGGTGTTGCTTGATCAAACCATATTAGTCTGGAAGTAATCCACAGCTTTTCATTTTCTGTGGAAACACAAGCAAGAAATCTTTTCCCAAGTAGCCTGTCCTTAGGCTTAAATTTTGAAGTCAAAGCATTTTTAAAATATATAAGTTGGATTAATTTAGCAGCATTGATAATCAAATGTCTTTTAGTAGCTGTAGTTCTTTCCTCGGCAATCAAAAAATTTAAAGACAACAATACAGCATATAGTATACAGACTATGTATTTTCCATCTTTCCATGGCTACTTATTTATTTCTTTTACTTTTACTTTTTCTTTTTTTGAGACAGGGTTTCTCTGTTAACTTTGACTGCCCTTGAATTCAGTCTGTACACCAGGCTGGCCTTAAAGTCATGAAGATCTGCTTGCCTCTGTCTCCGGAGTGCTGGGATTAAAGGTGTGTGCCACCACACCCAGCTACTCTTTTTTCCTCCTGTTTTTTTTTTTTTTTTTTTTTTCTCTCTCAAAAGCCTACATATATTTTTAAACACACTGTAAACCTTTAGAGGTTTTTCTTTATCTGAATCTGTCCTTATTGTAAATCTTTACCTTTTTCTGGCCACGCAATCCTTTAACTGTTAAACAACACTGCCAAAATTAAAGCAGCGGCTTTCTTAGCCTCTCTCTTTCCCAGATGGTGGAGGTCTGTTTACCATTAGCTCTGAGAGCTGTGCTCACTGCCTTGGTCTATGCTGCCACCAAGGAGCATGCTGCCGGCTTGAAGATGTGGTCACTGCCACTGTGTGGGGGGCACAAACCCACGACTCTGAGATTAAGAGTCTCATGCTCTACTGACTGAGCTAGCCAGGCCTCTGAAAAGGAGCCCTGCGTTTTTTTGCCCCCCCCCCCCTGCTTTTTACTGAGTCAGGAAACCTCTCTGCGGGGCCGCTCAAGTCTCTGCTTGTCTCTAGCAAAACAGAGACCACCCGAGAAAATGCTGCTAACAAGAAGTTATGCACAAGCATGACTGTTCTTTTGCTACTAAAAATCTCTTTATAAGCTTTTGTGAAATTTACATGGAAGTTCATAACACTACCGTCCACAGCTGGGTTCTGCCGCCACTTGGCTAGTTGCAGGAAGGCGACTCACAGCACCTGGTGGCTCTCAGCAACTGACAGCTCATGGTGGGAGGTTCACTGCTTCCTCTGGGAACCTCAGGGCGTGGAGTCATCCCACTCCTGACACCATTCTGTAATAATAAGTCTTTACTCCAAAGCCTCCGGAGTCCTGCTGCCACATGGGCATTTTCTGCCAGGCCACCCAAGTTCCGCCCGCCGCCATGTTAAGGTCCCAAGTAACACAGACTTATATTAGGTACAGTGCTTCTGGCCAATCCCTAGGATTTCTTATTTGCTAGCTCAGTCTTAATTATCATCCATAATCATAAGACTTATCTTATGGAGGATGCCTTCTGCTGGCGTCCTCTTCCTAGGTCACATGGTGACTGCAGAGCAGAGAGCAGGAGGAAAAGAGAAAGGGCCACAAAATTATTTTTTACATTTTATTTTTTTGTGTGCATGTGTGTGTGCATGTACATGCTTATCAAACCCATGAAAGAGGACAACTTTGAGGCATCAGCTCTCTCCTTCTGCTGTGCGGGTCCCTGTAGTCAGACTGGGGTTGCAGACCCATTTACCATTGAGCCAGTTTGCTGGCCCCTCAGTTTTTTATTCAACCCTTATTTAGACATTATTTCTCTGCTTCTAGACACGGATAGCTTTGGTCCTGGAGTAAAGATGCATTTTACAAAGGTTTTATTGTATTGCAGGTTAGTTCATGTCTTTTATACACTTTCCCATTGGAGACTTTTTAAAGCTTGCCATTCTAAACTTGAATCCTGATCTGGCTTATGTGCTCCCTCACTTGGCATCTGGGCCCTGTACGTGATCTGTTTTATGAAGAGACCATTGTGCCTGTTAGCTCCAGCAGAGCAAGCTTGTCAATGAGTTTAAATAGTTTTCTTTGTTAAATATACAACAATGACATATTTTCCAATTTCTTTGTTTGTTAGCAAGATGTTGATATCAGAGAGGAGATGCCAGAGCAGACAGCCAAACGGATGCTGAACCTTCTTGGTATCCTTAAATACAAACCTCCAGGAAATGCCACAGACATGTAAGAATCTGCTCCTGTATCATGCTTTCTTTAAGCCATGCTTTAAAGCCCCATCCTCCAGATGCTACAGTTGGTCTTTTTAGGCAACACCTGGTGCTCCCTCATTTGATGGCCTTGGGATATCACAGAACTTGAAAACCATTTTAATTCTTCTAATGCTGTTTTGTCATGTAGCAGTCTTAAGTGGATCAGTTCTCCCCCTCTGACCAAAAAGGTCAGGCAAATGGCATTTTATGATTTATGCCATTCTAGATAAAAACAAGTCTGGGGCTGGAGAAATGGCTCAGTGTCAATAGTGTTTGCTGTTCCTTAGAGGACCTGAGTTTGGTGGCTCTCCATCAGATGCCCTCTTCTGGCCCTAAACAAAAATACATACACACACACACACACACACACACACACACACACACACCCCTCATATACTTATACAAATGTACACATACATATAAATAAAAATGAGCCTTAAGAAACCAAAACAACTGAAATGCTTCAACACAACTTCTTGGATACTTTAGTAATATACTGAGGATCCAATTTTCTGACTAACGTAAGACTAACTTAGCTTTGTATCCACATTTTAAAAGTAGTCTCTAAATCAATAAGGACCGTGTAGGTCACGCTTTGAATAAAGGCTGTCTTTCCTGTCTGTGCTGACTGCTTCTGTGGTATGTTTCCTTCATAGGAGTACCTTTCGTCAGGGTTTGGTGATTGGAAGTAAACCTGTAATTTACCCAGTGCTCCACTGGCTGCTTCAGAGGAGTAATGAACTAAAGAAAAGGGCATATTTAGCCCGTTTTTTAATAAAACTGGAGGTGCCAAGTGAGTTTCTACAGGATGAAACTGTGGCCGACACCAATAAACAGGTACATAGTAGTGGACAAAGCTGCTTGTCTTCAGTGTTAATCTCTCTCTAGTTGTTACTTTAGGGTTCCAAGTGCCCCAAAAGGAAAATAGTGTCAGCTGATGGTCAGCTGTAGTCATGTCTTAAACAGTGACTTTCACACACAAGTAGTGTTTGGTGATAGGAAATGGAGATAGATGTTCAGGACTTTCTGTATTTAGTAATTCTGGATAGATGGACCCCTGGGCTTGAGACTGCAGAGCACTATGCTGCTCACAACAAGGCAGTTACTTAGTTTGTTTGTTATTCAAATGAGAGAGAAGCCGGCTATCATCATAATTACACCAGGACAAATTTAGCCAGTCATACTACTACTGGCCAGTTGGAACATGTGAGCCCCTGCATCTGATCCAGGGTTGCAGTCTCTTTCAGGGTGGAGAGAGTACTGGAAGTTTACAGTGCATTTTTCTCAGCAACATTGGCTTCTGGCCTTGGATTTTTCTTTAAGCTCTTGACTACTGTGGTCTGGTTCTTGGGTCCTCTTGTCTCAAAGTAACTGGCTGACCACAGACTGTAGAAAAAGAGAAACCCAACTGGATTTCAAAGAATATGTGTGTGGGGAGGGAGGGTTTCAAGACAGGGTTTCTTTGTAGCTTTGGAGGCTGTCCTGGAACTCACTCAGTAGGCCAGGCTGGTGTCGAACTCTCAGAGATCCACCTGCCTCTGCCTCCCAAGTGCTGGGATTAAAGGCATGCACCACCATCGCTGGCTAGTTTTTTTTATACTTTTATTTCATAGTAGTTAGACTGATTTAGGTCAGTTTGTTATGAAGTTTGTCTTTTCCAGTAGACTATAAGGTCCATGGAGACAGGTGTTGTTTATACTATCTGTCTTTTTTTCTTCCAGAATTTGGTATAGTGACTTCTGTATGTTGGTTCCTCAGTATTTATACTGAATCAAAACAACGGAATGATTTTATTTTTCATCTATGTATTGTTATGGCTATCAGTAAAAGTAAAGTTCATATTGATCTCTTAAAGCCACAGTGCCCTAGTAGGCATTTATGTGATAAAGAAAACAGGGATGTGTAAGTGTGGAGTAGTTCTACTCCCTCCCCACCCCCTTCATAAATGGGTTCATATGTATTACATATATCTCTAGCAGGGATGTTAAAAGATTGCATTTTGGATATCTGATATGTATTTGATAATGTAAATAATTCCTCTAGAGGAAGTTTATTAATAGTAAACTTCTTGAAGCATGTATGAGAGGTCTGTGTATTTAAAAAGAGGCACATTTAGCAAAAATACTAATAAAAATTTTATGTTGTTGCTGGATGGTGGTGGTGCACACCTTTAATCTCAACATTGGAGAGGCAGAGGCTGGTGGATCTCTGTGAGTTCAAGACCAGCCTGGTCTACAGAGCAAGTTCTAGGACAGCTAGAGCTGTTACACAGAAAGTGTGCCTCAAAACACCCAAATATCTATCTATCTATCTATCTATCTAGATATAGATATAGATATAGATATATGTATATATGTGTATATATATGCATATATAGAGAGAGTTGTCTTTCTGTTTTTTTTTTTTTTTTGGAGACCAGGCTGGCCTTGAACTCACAGAGATCCACCTGCCTCTGCCTCCTGAGGGCTGGGATTAAAGTTGTGCACCACCAACGCCCGGAGAGAGTTGTCTTTCTGAATGAAGAGTTTTAGAATGAATGATTTGTAAATTTATAGAATATGACCAGTCAAAAATATTAATATTTCTGATAATTGTCATTTAAAAAAATACTGTGGTGTGTGTGTGGTGCTAGAGATTGAGCCCAGAATCTTTTTTTTTTTAAGATTTTATTTATTTATTTATTTATTTATTATGTATACAACATTCTGCTTCCACGTATATCTGCCCACCAGAAGAGGGCACCAGATCTCATAACGGATGGTTGTGAGCCACCATGTGGTTGCTGGGAATTGAACTCAGGACCTCTGGAAGAGCAGTCAGTGCTCTTAACCTCTGAGCCATCTCTCCAGCCCCTGAGCCCAGAGTCTTTTTTAAAAAAAATTAATTTTTATTTTACGTGGATTGTTGTTTTGCTTGCATGTATGTATGTGAGGGTGTCAGGTCTTGGAGTTACAGACAGGTGTGAGCTGCTATGTGGGTGCTGGGGAATTGAACCCAGGTCCTCTGGAAGAGTAGTCAGTAGTACTATTTACCACTGAGCCAGCTCTCCAGCCCCAGTTCAGGGTCTTATGCATGTTAGGGACATGTGCTACCACTGAACTATACTTTCAGACCTTAGGCTACTGTTGATTTAAAAGTAGGATAACAGCTATGGTATTTTTCTTTAACTGACTACTCTTTATTATACACCTGTGAGGATTATGTCCTGTAGTAAGCCCTGGGGTTACGAAGGTATTCATAATAAATGCAGTCCTTACCCTCCTGGCCATTGCTCTTTTCTGGAAGGATCCAGACAAATAATTACTCTATTATAACATGATCTCTACTCTGATAGACAAGGAACCAAAGCTGGCTTCTCTGAGAATAGTGGTAGCTATGCTGAGACTGTTGGGATGAATCTGTTATCCAGGTTGATAGGGAGGACGTCACAAGTGTTCTCAAAGGGAATAGGATAGGTAACCTGCAGGTGGGAACCAGGGCTGTTGCAGGGTCAACATAGCTAGAGTTGAGATTGTGAAAAAGTAGTAGCCAGAGATGGAGCCAGAGAAGCATTTACTGAGGAGACCATGCAGATCTCGTTTTTTACATGCTGTATGGATTGTAAGAATGTGCAGGGCTTTGTTTTGTTTTTGAGACAAGGCCTTGATATGTAGCCCATGCTGACCTCACACCCATGATCCTTCTGCCTTAGCCTTCCAAATCTTAGAATTACATTCATGTGCCTTCATGGCTGCTTTTAGAACATGTTTTAAAGTTCTTCTTCTAAGGATCTAAGTGATTGCTGCAAGTTAATGGGCAGCTTGATGAAGACAACACAGCTGTATGTAGTCGTAGCTGGTAACCTGCTAACTTCCTCTTTCAGTATGAAGAGTTGATGGAAGCCTTTAAAACCCTGCATAAAGAATGTGAGCAGCTCAAAACATCTGGATTTTCTACAGCAGAGATAAGAAGGGTAAAGAAATATCCACCTGGACCTGAGTAATACTGTATTCAGATCTTTTGATTTTGGTTAATGCAGCATGAGTTTTAACTGTATGGAAACTAGTGACAGTAAATGACTGCTTTTGCAGGACCTTTAATATCGGTGTGTAGACATATGTATCCATGTGTGTGCATGTGGAGGCCAAAGGGCATCTGGAGTCTCCCTTTGCAGAATCTCTCACTGAACCTGAAGCTTTGGCTAATTGGACTGACCAGCTATATCTGTCTGTCTCCAACCCCAGCACTGCAATTACAGGCACACTCAACCATGCCCAGCTCTTCCTTTGTAGTCCTTTACTGAAGAAATTAATAAGGGCAATGAGTTCATGTTTCGTGTTGACAACTATAGCAGGGATTTAGAAATACTTCATTTTGAATCTTTCTTTGGTATGTATTCTACATATGATACAGAGAATGCAGAAGAGAACAAAGAAAGAAGTTGTGTGAGTGTATATGAGATCATGCGATACATAGTTACTCCATCTTGCTTTCTTTATGAAGGCTAGAGGACTATCTCAGGTGTCATCCTCAGGATGCCATCATCCTCCTTAGAGACAGGGTTTCTCATTGGTGAGACTGTCTGACCAGCAAGGCTCAGAGAACCTCCTGTTTCCACCTCCTTAATGCTGGGATTACAAGAGCATGCTACCATGCTTGCTTATTGTGTAGGTGCTGGAGAATGGTACTGAACTCAGGGCCTGGCTCTTGTGTGCGAGGCAAGCTATATCAACCAAGCCTTTCCCACAGTCTCACTGCTTTTTTAAGATTCGTTTTTATTATTTTAAAATGTGTTCATGTGTGAATCTGTGTGGGAGTACATGCATGTAAGTGCAGGTGGCTGCAGAGTCCAAACAAGATGTTGGATCCCCCAGAGCTGGAATTACAGGCAGTTAAGATGGTCTAACATGGGTATTGGGAACCGAACTCAGGCATACATGCTCTTAACCACTGGACCATCTCTCCAGCGCCTGTTACTTTTTTTTTTTTTAAGTTTTTCAAGACAGGGTTTCTGTGTATAACAGTCCTGTCCTTGCTGTCCTGGAACTCACTTTGTAGACCATAGTGTCCTTGTACTCACAGCACAGAGATCCACTGCTTCTGCCTCTGGAGTGCTGGAACTAAAGGTGTATATCATCACTGCCTAGCTTCCTTGTTGCTTTTTAATTATTACATTATGAGTATATTTTCATTCTTATTTTTCTACAAAGTTATAGCAATGACCCAATTTATTTTCTGTAGTAAATATACATTAATCATATTTAGGTTTTTGCTTCGTTTTTTGCTATTATAAATAATGCCATGATTATCAGCATGATTTTTGTATGGCTATGATAGTTTCTTTCTTTCTTTTTTTGGTTTTTCAAGACTGGGTTTCTTTATGTAGCTTTGGAGCCTATCTTGGCACTCAATCTTTAAACCAGGCTGGTCTTGAACTCAGAGATCCACTTGCCTCTCCCTCCCGAGTACTGGGATTAAAGGCATGTGCCACCACCGCTTGGCTGGCTATGGTAGTTTCTTTGCAATATTTTGTAGACATAGAATTGCTTATTAACTCACAGAAATTATTTTAGGGCTTTTAATCCATGTTCTCCAGAAGATATTTTTACATTCTGCCAGGCGTTTAGGTCCTTTCCTTAAAGACTTGCTATTCTGACCTGCATGAATTTTGTATTTTTAGAATTCCTGAGTTATGAGTGCTATCTTTGTACTCTCATTAAATCAGGGACATCAAAGTTTCTTCCTCAGGGAAGCCGTCCCCAACTCCCTAAATAGATCACTTTCCCTAGTTCTTTTCCTGTGGTGGCATTCATTGCCCTTTTAATTGCCTTCATGTTTGTCTTTCTAAGTGCATAAAAAAACCAGGGCTACGTCTGTGCACCTTCACCGTGTGTTCCCAGTGCCTGACACCAGTGCGTGGGCACCTGGCAGGCCCTCAGCAAGAGCTTGGTGATTGGAGATGAACAGTGATCTCAGCTCTGATAGATAAGAAGGACCAGTGAGAGGTCCTCTGCTGTGTCCTGTGAATGAATCCACAGCCATGATTCAGGGAACAGAGTCTGGTTTTAACCTAATTCATTATTACTAAATATTCCTGAACACTTAGAAAATACAGTTAAAGAATAAATAGAAAAGAGTTCACTCACCATCACATGTTCTTGAGGTACCTACTGTTGACAAATTTCCTTGGAATTGAACTATATATAACTGGTGTAATTTGCTTCTTTCAAGGAATGTCATTTCATAACTTTCCTCATGTCATTAAACACTCTTCTGCACCATTTTAATGACTTGTATTTTGTTACATTGTAGTTAATCGTTGTCTGACATTTAGATTCTTCCACATCTGAGCTTCATTGTACATGTGGAGGTGCCACAGTGTATTGTGGAGGGAGGTCAGAGGATGACAGCTTAGGGGAGTTATTTTCTCCTTCCACCATGTAGGTCCTAGAATTAATCTCAGGTTTTCAGGCTTGGCACCAGGTGCCTTTACCCACTGAGCCATCCTGCTGACCTTAGTGAGCATTTTATTTAGAACACCCCATGTGCAGAGTTCCTGGAATGTTTATTTTATGACCTCTTATATTATTCTTTAACACAACACTATCAGTAGTGAGTAAGAGTGCTCATTTCCTGAAATCCTACCAGTACTGGCTACCATTGTTTAGGTTACCTATAGTATTATTGCATAGGTTTTTGGTTTTTGTTTGTTTAGGAAACATATTTGTCTTTTTCTGTTTTCATTACAAACCATTGTAGAGCTGATTTAAAAGAAGGTAGTTTATTTTTAATTATTTTTCACAGAAAAAAATTTGGTTGATTGATGAACCCATACACAATTTTACATCTTAAGAACATCATATGGGCCAGGCATGGCGGTTTGCACACATTTAATCCCAGCATTCGGGAGGCAGAAACAGGTGGATCTCTTGAGTTTGAGGCCAGCTTGTCTACATAGTGAGTTCCAAAATAGTCAAGGATATCTAGGGAGATGCCGTGTTAAAATCAAAACAAAACAAACAAAAGCCTACCATAACCTTAAAAAAGTAATTTTGATGGGAAATCAGCAGAATATATGGTTTGGTATTTAACAGAACAGATCGGATGTCAGCAGCTGTTCATGTACTTAGGCCTGCATACATTTCACCATGGAAGATTTTTGAAAACTCATATAGCCATATTTGGAATCAGAACACAAGTGTGCTGGCTGGCAGCTTTACCTTGCTGCGCTATAACCTGCTTTAGTTGCTTTTCTAGATGAATGCCAAGCTGCCAAAAAAATTTTCTTGCATAAAGAAGCCTGGGGGAAATGGAAATGGCCCTAAATCAAAAGAAGATCTTTGTTACTTGCTGCTGTGGTTGTAATGGGATACAGAGCTTGTGCAAAACCCACCTCAGTCCTATAGACGGAGCGCTTTTAATGGCCTCTTTACTACTTTTTAGGACATCAGTGCAATGGAAGAAGAAAAGGACCAACTCATGAAGAGAGTTGAACGTTTGAAGAAAAGGGTAAGTCAAGAATTAGCCTGTAGACTTCAGTGCGTCCTAAGGACTGGCAGAGCTTTCGGAATGCAAATAAAGATTAAGCCAGGCATGGATACCCAGTGGAGGATGGACTCCAGTAACACTGGAGGAAAGGGAATCTCCCAGGCAGTAGCCCAAAACTCTCAAGGACCTGGAGTTGAAAGCTTGGCTGTCATCTCTGGGGAGTACTGTTTACCAGAAGGAAATGATAAGTGGACGCTGGAGTCACATGACTTGCTAATGCCTTTCTCAAACGTGACAGTAACATGTTCTACTTATTCCCTTACTGTAGGTGGAGACTGTTCAGAATCATCAGCGGATGCTTAAAATAGCCAGACAGCTTCGGGTTGAGAAAGAGAGAGAAGAATTTCTTGCACAACAGAAACAGGAACAAAAGAATCAGGTATCCACAGAAAGTTTTTACATATTCAGGATCACAGAAGTAGCTCCTCTTGGTAATAAAAAATACATATAAAAGTGAACTTTAAATTTCATATTTCCTTTTGGCAATGTGATGGACCTACTCTTTTTCTTTAGAACTGGCACGTGCGCTCTCACGCGCTCTCACGCGCACGCACGTGTGTGTGTGTGTGTGTGTGTGTGTGTGTGTGTGTGTGTGTGTGTGTGAGTGTGTGTGTGCATGTGTGTATGTGTGAGTGTGTACGTGTGTGTGAGTGAGTGCATGTGTGTGTGAGTGTGTGTGTGTGTTGCCTTCCTCATGCTGTTTTTCTTTCTTTCCATTTTTTTTTACCTGTTTGAAGTATTTGAGGATTGAACCTAAGGCACATGCTAGACATGCACTCTACAATTGACCTGTAGCCCCAGCTTTCTTTTTATTTTGAGACATGATTTGCTTATTTGCCACTGGAATGAAATGTACAGGGTCCAGTGATAACATTCTTATTGCCTCAGACATAGGGTGCCCTGTAAAGATCCTGTTCCATTAGCAGCTGACCTTACTGCTGCTCTGTAGGAACACGAGCCTACTGCAGTCCAAACTCAGCACTTACACACATAGTATGGAGCCCCAAATAAGGTGTTGCTACTGTTGACAGTGTCACAAAATCCTAATTAAAAATAGTTCAGGGCCTCAGAATCACCCACACTACTATGTTTTTAAACTTCATCTTAAAGAAGAAATTATTTGGCCTGTAAGTATTGCTTTAATTTATTAAAAAATGCCTTAAACTTTAAAAACATTATTTCAAATCATTGTAATTTCTAAATAGTCAATTTGAGCTGGCACTTTAGATACTCAGCTCCATGGGAACTTGACTTGGGACCACAGTAGCTGCACTGCAGAAGTGAGCTCATTTCCTTAGGCTTGAATGGTTATTTAATGTCAGTTTCTGATGCTGAAGCATTACTGAGACTGTTAACATTTCCTAGGTACAAGGGAACCATGTTACACAAGGAAAGGCTACTGCATGTCTCTCTCCAATGGATATTATTTATTTACTTACTTACTTTTGGAGTCAGGTCTTTCTATGTAGTCCTGGCTGTCCTGGAGCTAGCTATGTAGACTGTACTTGAACTCACAGAGATTCCCCCTGCCTCTTTATCCTGAGTGCTGGGATTAAAGGTGAATGCCACCACACAGCCACAGAGATTTTTCTTTCATCACTATCTAAAACAGCAACTAAAGAAAAATGTTCTGGAAGCATGTTTTAAATTTTGTATGAGGAACTAGGTATTGTTATAGTATATAAGGGCACCTGATGATCTTGTAGATCTGTTTGGTTCCCAGCAGATAGGATAGGATGGCTCACAACTTGTTGTAACCAATTCCAAGGGCTCTGCCACCCTCTTCAGATGCCGTGGGCACCTGCCTGCAGGGGCACACGTGCATATATGCAGGCACACACTCAGGTACACATCACTCGTATATAAAATAAATAAAATCTAAATTTACACAAAAATATATCGAGAAAACTAGTTATAGTTTTGGTTTAACATACTTGCTTTCTTAGTATTTATCAGTTTCTTCTGTAGTGTGGGAATCCCATGTATTCCCATTCCTTGCCTATGTGAGCATTGTTTCACTAGACTGAGCAAGTAATAAATCAAATTGTTGTTTAAAGCTGTTTCACGCAGTGCAGAGATTGCAAAGAGTGCAAAACCAGCTGAAAAGTATGCGACATGCTGCAGCGGATGCAAAGCCCGAAAGTAAGTGAAGATTTACTTATTTATTTATGATTTTTTTAAAGATTCCCTATGGCTTTCTTAACATTTCTTTTTCATATAGTTTATTTTTATGTGTGTTGGTGTTTTGCCTGCATGTATGTCTGTGTGAGGCTGTCGATCTTGGAGTTATAGACACTTGTTAGCTGCCATGTGGGTGCTGGGATTTGAACCCAGGTCTTCTGGAAGAGAAGATAGTGCCCTTAACTGCTGAGCTATCTCTCCAGCCCTGTAAGTGATTACATGATGTAGATTATTAGAAAATGGTAAATTCCACCAGGATATTCCTTAAAATGATTGGTGGGAATTAATTATCTCACCATTTTGGAGCATCATTTCCTACATGGTCAGTTGGAATCCTGATTAAAATCATCCATGAGTTTTCAAAACTATTTTTCTCCCTCCTGTTTTCAGTCACGGGGTGAAACTGGTGTTAACTGTGAGAGTGAGCTCTTCCCTGTGTGTTGAAGATGGGAGCTGTGAAAAAGATGCATGGAAACAACATGAATCCTTGTCAAAGCTATAGAGAAAAGGAGTCAATGCTGCATGTTTTCTGTGGCTTGGCTTGTAGAATAGCGGGATTAGTGATGTGGTGTCCCTGGCTGAGTTGTGTGTGGCTTTGCACAGGCAATGAACTGTTCTCATAACCCACTTGAACCCATCCCAGGCATTTTGAAAGTGTTCTTGTCTCTCAGCAAGGAGAGTACCCAAGCTAAAAACAATATAAAGCTCTTGTTTGTGTTAGAGAAATATTACACTGTAAATCTAGCTAAGGGAGGGGTAGTAATCTAAAGATAGTACATGATCTATAGAATGACAGTAATAAAAGTGACAGACAGTTACAGTTGTTGGCAAAGATATACAGAAATTGGAACCCTCATATTTGTGGAAATGTAAAAGGATGTAACTGCTTTAAAAAAACAGTTGAGGAATTCCTCAAAATGCTAAAATTTGTCACCACAGTGTAAGTATGGAGGGCAGAAGACAACTTGTGGGGGAGTTGGTTTTCTCCTCTCTGTGGTCATCACACCTGGAGGCAAGTGCTCACCAACTCCTGAACTACTATTTCTAATCTCAGGCATATACCTAAGAGATCGAAAACATCTACTCAACCAAAAACTTCTTGAACATGCATGTGCATTGGAGCATTACTTGTGATAAGCAAAAGAGTTGAAACAACCACATGTTCCTAAACTGATGCATAGATTAGCAAAGTATGGCATATTCATACATTGGAATATTGTTCTGCCACCAAAGTGAATGAAGTAGTAACACATGCTATGAAACATGTGAACTTCAAAAACAACTGTGAGAGACAGCCATAAAAGGGCACATATTGCACAGTACTATTTATAAGAAATATCTGAAATAAGAAAATTCATAGAGATAGAAATCAACTCAGTGGGAAGAAACTATGGTTGGGAGAAGTCCAAGTAAGTGCCTGCAAGTGAGTTCAGAGACTTTGGGAGCTGATAATAATGACCTAATGAACTGTTCAGGTGGTGGACACCTATTTATATACTGAAACCACTGCATTATATCTATCAATGGTTGAACTTTGTGGAAGATAAATGCTAGCTCAATAAAACTATTAAAAGAGATTAATACAGGAGCTGGAATGATAGCTCAGTAGTTAAAATGGCTTAGCACCTGCAGCTCTTGCGGAGGACCCAGGTTCGGTTCCCAGCACCGACATGGCAGTCTACAACTATCTATAACTCTAGCTGATGTCCTTCCCTGACATCTGTGGGCAAGGCAGGCATATGGTGCATAGACATATAATGCAGGCAAAACACCCAGACACATAAAGTAAACCCTTAAAAAAAGGGGGGGGGGAGCAGAAGCAGAAACAGAAGAAGAAGAAGAAGAAATAGAAATGAGTACAAAACTCCTATTTACAAGAGGAGCATCTAAGACATTTTGGTTTCCAGCTTTCCAAATCACCCCTCACTCATTTCAGTCTAAATTCCAATTTAAGCAGTGAGTGTGCATTTAGGTGGTGGTGTCCTTTAATTCTTTGTTTATTAAATTTTACTTTCTCAGTGGTTAATTTTAAGCAGGAAGGTTTTTTGCCTTTATTTGTAGGACATGTTCTTTATATGTTTCTATTATAAAAGGAAGATGAATGCACAAAAGACTCCATTAAACTACAGCTATTTAATGATGAACATCAAAAAGTAATTTGTGTGTAAAAAATTTAGTACTAAATACCCTGTTTTAGACTCGAGCATGAGTGACAGCTCACAAAAGCTGGGGACCTGGAGCATACTTCACAGCCTACAGGCAGCTCAGCAGATTGGAGAGTGTCCTTTCCAAGTGACTCTGGTCTAACCTCTTCCAGGAAGTTGGGATACTTTCTCCTTCCAGGCAGCTGGTCTGTCTCAAAGCTGTCTTTGCAGCTTGGCCAGTGTATTAGTCAGGGTTCTCTAGATCAGTGGTTCTCAACCTTCCTAATGCTGCAATTTAATACAGTTCCTCCTCTCATGGTGACCTCCAACCATACATAAGATTATTTTGTTGCTCCTTCATAACTGTAATGTTGCTATTCTTATGGAATTGTAATATAAATATCTGATATGCAGGATATCTGATATATGACCCTCAGAAAAGGGTCACAACCCACAGTTGAAAACCACAGCTCCTGAGTAATATAACTTATAGAATGCATGAGTGTGTGTGTTTGTGTGTGAGTGTTATAGAAGAGTAGATTTATTCGAATGACATACAGGCTGTAGTCTAGCTGTGAATGGAAACTCCAAGAATCTAGTAGTTGCTTATTTCACAAGGCTGATATCTCAGCTGGCTTTCAGTATACACTAGAATCCCAAAGAAGTAGGTTCTAATACTAGTGAAAGAATGAACTTGCTAGCAAGGTGAGAACAAGCAGGCAAAGAACCAAAACTTCCTTCTTCCATGTCCTTACATGGGCTTCTAATAGAATGTGTGGCCCAGATCAAAGATGGGTTTCCCAACTCAAATGATCAGAAATAAAGGCGTGTCTTCCTACCTCAATGATCCAGATTGAAGTGGATCTTCCTACTTCAAATTAAGCTAAAATCCTCATGGGTGTGCCTTCTAGTTTTGGGTTTTAGTTAACTCCAGATGTAGTTAGGTTGACAACCAACAACTAGTCTGAGAGTAACTCTCAGCTGCTTTATTGCTTACTTTGGGAGGGAAGGGCTTAGTAAATCTGGTCAATTTCAGGAACTTCCTGAAGCTATTCCGAGTTGTTTGCTTTCCTGCTTAAGGAGCTTCCTTGCAGGATGTAGTGCTTTCTTGTACAGTTTCTAGAAAACTGTTACGAAAAAGGAGGTAGGAGTTGAGGCTTATCAGACAGGAAGGAAAATTCAAGTGAGGAAAAAGTGGCAGAAAATACAGATAAAAAGAAAATATTCTATGTAATGCATACACTTTGTGAGCAGGAGCTGGGGCCTAGGATTCCCTGCTCATAGCTCACGCATGCTGGGCAGACGCTCTGTCTTACTTCTGAGCTCTGTTCCCAGACTGCCATTGGCCTTTGATGAAGATAGCAGACTTGCTCCTTACCCTGAACTTCCTTGTGGCCTTTGTGATGTCTCCCTCAGGACCCTTCCCCTTCTCCAAACAGTCATTGATCTACTTTTTGTCACTGTAGGATTAGTTTGTGTTTTTAAAACTTTTTAAAATAGAAAAATATAGGAAGTGTGTGAACACCTGGAGATGAGGAGACTGCTCCCCACATAGCCAAAGAAGAGGGAATGTAGAGTTAGTGAGAAAATGCCTGGGAATGAATGCCTGTCGGAGTGGACCCTGGTGCATTAAACCTTCCTTTCTCCAGTCCTCAAAAGGGGCAGGGTGGGGGCATTGAAAGAATGAATGGAAAACTTCTGAATTTGCATTAATAAAATTTTTCATGTCCCATTTGTACAACAGAACTAGAAATAATGTTAAGGCTTTGGGCCATTTTTATTATACAATCTTCATACATAGATTACTTAAACTAGAAACTCATCATTTCTAAAAGTCAAGCCAGAATTTGTAAATGCAAAGATCAGAAATAAGCTATGTAAATCTCTCCAGTCTAGGAATTTACAATAAAACCATTATTCACTGAGAATATTGTATACTTGTATGTTTGCCAAAATAAGAAAACTATTAAATCTTAAAAATATTTACTAAGGCAGTGGTGGCGCTCATCTTTCATCCCAGCACTTGGGAGGCAGAGGCAGGCAGATCTCTGTGAGTTCAAGGCCAGCCTACTCTACAGAGCAAGTTCCAGGATAGGCTCCAAAGCTACACAGAAACCCTGTCTCGGGGAAAAAAAAAATTTTTACTAGCCAGGCAGTGGTGGCACACGCCTTTAATCCCAGCACTTGGGAAGCAGAGGCAGGCGGATCTCTGTGGATTTGAGGCCAGTCTGGTCTATAGAGCAAGTTCCAGGACAGCCAGAACTGTTACACAAAGAAACCCTATCCTGAAAAACAAAACCAAACAAAACAAATTTTTATTATAAATTAATACTTGAAAAAAACAAAAACAGGCAAATCTAAAACATTTATGGAAGCGGACACTTTTATTTCTCCTTTTCAGATTTGAATTTGTTGACTCCTAGCATTGTCTTTATTAGTTTGATGCCAACAAATTATTACATGTTACTGTTTATGAAGTATTAGAAGTAGAGATACAATAAAAGAGAAAGAAGCCAGACCTGCCTTTAATCCTAGCACTCAGGAGGCAGAGGCAGGCAGATCTCTGTGAGTTCATGGCCAGCCTGTCCTACAGAGCAAGTTCCGGGATAGCCAGGACTGTATAGAGACAGTGTCTCAAAAAATAAACATCTAGCAACAAAAAGAAAAAAAAAGAAAAGAAAGAAAAAGAAGATTAAAATGTCTGTTGTGTAAGAGGGGGCCTGGGGTAGACTTCATTTGTGTTTTCATTTGGTTCACTGGCTTCTTAAATACTTAGAAGGCAAAATAGGACACTGATGGATCTGATTCTGTAACTGCACCTCGTGCATATTTTGTAATTTTAGGAATTGGGTTATGAAGTTAAAAGGGTCATAATATCACTTTTACTATAATTATCTAAATACTCTTCCATGTAAATTATGATTTATATTCATACTAATTAACCTGGAAGGATTCCAGTGATCTTCTATGGCACTGTATGGGTGCCGCATAGATGCTCTGACACACAGCCCCACTGTCTAATTAACCTGGATTTCAGTGATCTTCTATGGTACTGCATAGATACTCTAACACACACTGTTGGGGGATGTCCTTCTGTGTATATGTTTCTCTTATTGGTTGATGAATAAAACACCTCTTTGGCCAATAGAGGCAGGAAGATAAGGCAGGACTAGGAGACGAGGAGAATTCTGGGAAAGGTAGGCAGAGGAAGACCAAAAAGAGACCATGTAGTCAGAAAAGGAGAAACAGGTTGAGCATTCCCCGGTAAGCCACGACCACGTGGAAATACATAGATTTATAAAAATGAGTTAATAATTAAGACAGAGCTAGCCAGTAAGAAGCCCTAGTCATCAGCCAACAGTTTAATAATATAGCATCTCTGTGTGTTCATTTGGGGCTGAAGCAGTGAGACCTGGCAGGACAAGAAAACTCCAGCTACACACAGCCCCATTGTCCATGCCTTACTCATAAAGCAAAGTGCGGAGTGTCATAGCACCACACACGCTTTTGAACTAAACTTTCTTCTTTTTGTTTGTTTTTCAAGACAGGGATTCTCTGTGTAGGGCTGGCTGGAACTAAACTTTCATTTGCTTTTTTTTTTTTTTAAGGTTTAATGAAGAGGCTAGAAGAAGAGATAAAATTTAATTCATATATGGTCACTGAAAAATTTCCAAAAGAACTAGAAAGCAAGAAGAAGGAGTTACATTTTTTACAAAAAGTGGTTTCTGAGCCAGCTATGGGCCACTCTGACCTTCTAGAGCTTGAGTCTAAAGTAAGTGACTTCATCTTCTGGCTCCCAGTTCTGTCTGTTCTGTGAAGAATCTGTGCGTGTTCCTACTCATGACTCCAGAGCTAGCCTGGGCTAAGGGCTGATACCTCTGCTGATGGGTTGTCCTATTGAAAATTCTAGAATGTCATGTACTTCAGAATAATTATAATATCAGATTTTGTTTTTAAGTTTTTAAGGGCAGTTTTATATTTTAAAGTTTTTCATGTATGCTTTGACTAGACTTTATTTCAGTGCCCACCGAAACTGGTAATGTATTACAGCATTTTGTTCCCTATAAATAAAACAGTGCTCATTAGTATATTTTTTTAAGTTATCATAAAAATTGATTGAAAGATTTTTAATTGCTGGTTCCTTATTTTTTTAGTAGCCTCTACAATTAAATGTCTAATTTGAGCCACATTGCTCTTTTAATTTACTTAGACAACATAGATGTCCAAGTCAGATGTGGCTCAAATTTAAGGTCACAGGTTAAAGGAGGGGCTATCTTTGGAAGGATGGATATACTGGAATGTTTTATTTTGTTTTCCTTGTTGAAAAGCTGGTGTTACTCAGTTTCATTACATTAGAAAGAGTTACATATCAGTATAAATGGTATCTATCAAAGAGTCACAGACCATTAGAATAGTAGGAGTTTTGGGTGTTCCAAGTCAGCTTTCAGCTGGGTTCATGTGTGCTGTGCTGTGCCTCTGGGGAATGTCTGTTTGGATTTACATTGTAACTGAGTGACTTGGAAGTCATAGCTGAGGTGTGTGGGTAACTACAGGTTTGAGAAAGCCCCTTCCACATAATAATGTGCGAATATTTCCAATTAACACTTCAGAATCATGTAGGCATGTCAGATTCAATCTGAAGAAGTAATCAAACTGTACAAATATTTATTATTAAATTTAAGTTGTTTCTAAAAGTGCTCATAACAGTCTACTCATACAATAGTTGGAACTCTGCTCCTCATGACTTCAGAAATGGTAAGAACTGTAAACTCAAGATGAGTGTGGCCTGGTGTCTCTACTGAGTTCACTTTGTTTACATAATCACTGGGAGGGTTGTATGTTTGTCTGCTTGTTTGATTGGTTGGTCAGTTTTTTTGAGAGGATTCCACTGTCTAAAAGAAACTGACTTTGAAATACCTCTTCTCCTGCCTCAGTCTCCCTAGTGCTGGAGTTTCCCTAGTGCAGGTGTGCACTACGACTCCTGGCTCTCATAAGGAGAGTTTTGTTTTTGTTTTGTTTTGTTTATGGTTAAAATTTGTTGTTTATTTTTTCTCAGAGTTTTCTTATTTAAATTAGAAACAACCTTGTTTTACATGTCAATCCCAGTTCCCTCTCCTTCCCCTCCTCCCCTGCCCCCCACTATTCCATACCCTTTCTGCTCCCCAGGAAGGGTGAGGCCTTTCCATGGGGGATCTTCAAAGTCTGTCCTATCATTTGGAGCACGGTCTAGGCCCTTCCCATGTCTAGGCTGAGAGAGTATTTCTCTATGTGGAATGGGCTCCCAAGGCCATTCGTATACTATGGATAAGTACTGATCCACTGCCAGAGGCCCCATAGATTGCCCAGGCCTCCTAACTGACACTCACAATCATGGGGTCTGGGTCAGTCCTATGCTGGTTTCCCAGCCATAGGGAGAGTTTTAACATGTTCCACTTTTATACTCTTTTAGGTCAATGAAATAAACACGGAGATCAATCAGTTGATTGAGAAGAAAATGATGAGAAATGAGCCAATTGAAGGCAAGCTCTCACTGTACAGACAACAGGTACTTAGCTGTGGGTTATGTGAGGAGGAGGTAAAGAACAGAGGCTTTCTGTCATTGCTAAACTCCACCTTATAACCAAGTAGCAGAGACACTAGAAAGACATTGGTGTGCCAATTTCTGTGGATGTGGAATTCGTCTTCTAAATGGCAAGTTTATGTTAGGTGGTGTAAGTCAAAACACGCCAAAATACATGTACACTCCCGGATTAAAGTATTGACTTTGCTATCCATTTTTCAAGAGATATAATTACGTGATATACAGGTTCCAACTTTCAAGGTCTTCTGTCTCTTGTCTTTAGAGTTAACTAATAGCTTCGACAGTGTTGGACATAGGGAGATGCTCAGCACTTTGATCTTGAGGGATACTCATGTTTCTCCGTTATGTGAGGTCCACAGCTTGGGTTGCAGTTTATATTTATTTAAACTACCTGCCTACACCACAGTTCCCACACAGAGTGCTACTTCACTCCCTTGTCTTTTAACATGGAATACTTGCATATGGGAAACACTTCTTCATTGCTTCCCTATTTATTTTTATTCATTTATTTATTTATGGTTTTTCATGACAGGGTTTCTCTGTAGCTTTGGAGCCAGTCCTGGAACGCAATCTGTAGACCAGACTGGTCTCGAACTCACAGAGATTCACCTGCCTCTGCCTCCCGCCGAGTGCTGGGACTAAAGGCGTGCACCGCCAATGCCCAACTGCCTTTTTATGTTTTTTTAATAAAAAAAGTAAAATAGAATTTTTAAATAGTTTGTACTATAGAGTACCCTTCTGTCACATTTGTTTTATTCCATGCTATTTGTACTGTGTCACAATTTGGCTGATACCTCTCAGAAACATGAACATTGTGATTTATCTAAGAAATTCCCCAAGGCTGGGTATAGTGGTATTGGGCCACACCTTTAATCCCAACACTCAGAAGGCAACAGCAGGAGGATCTCTGTGAATTCAAGGCCAGCCATAGTGAGCTTTGGGATAGCCAGGACTACATACAGAAGCCCTGTCAATCAATGGAAGAAAGCAAGGGAGGGAGGAAGGTAATTTTCCAGAGTTATAGCTTACATAAATGTTCATTGATCTTTAAGAGCAGCCATTTGGATTAGGTAAACACATGCACAATTCTGATGATTCTGATGTTTAACTTTTTAAGAAATACATTTTTTATTATGTATACAGTATTCTGTCTGCATGCATGTCTACAGGCCAGAAGAGGGCGTTAGATCTCACTACAGGTGGTTATAAGCCACCATGTGGTTGCTGGGAATTGAACTCAGAACCTTTGAAAGAACAGCTAGTGCTCTTAACCTCTGAGCTATGTCTCCAGCCCCCTGATGTTTAACTTTTAACCTACATCTTATTTATTAAAATGCTGGGGAGATGGCTCTGCAGTTAACAGCACTTGCTGCTCTCATGGAGGACCCCAGTTCAGTTCCCAGAACCCACATGACAATTGACAACCTCCTGCCAACCCGATACCCTCTTCTGACCTCCATGAGCTCACACACACATGCATGGTACCATGCACACACTGAGGCAGACACACATATGCACAACAAATGTTTTTTTAAAACCTTTTAAAAATGTACCAAATGTAGATATTTTGGCCTTTCATTTTTAAAATACTGGTATTGACTTTAGTGAGCGAAGCTGCCTTGTAGTTCTGAAAATAGGTTGTTGTTATTTTCTTCCAATGAGTGGGAATCTCCCATGCAGACAAACCTCATAACTGGGTCTTACTCTGTGCACTTCCCTAGGAGGTGTTGTCACTGCCCTTCAGGGTTACTTAAGATGGCTTGAATATCTTTCCTATTGTGTATTTGGTTTTTAGTTTTTTTTTTTTTTCAGGGCTTTTGTCTTTCAAGATGTTTTGAATTTGACAATACACACTTCACTTGTGGTAAACACTAACTGATGAGAATGGACAGTAGAGCAAGCACTGTTGGTCAAGAGCAGCAAAGTTGATGCTAAAAGTTATATTGAAAATAAAAAATAGATAATTTCACAAGATAACAGAAAACTGAGTCTATTTCTTATTTTATTCTCATATTACATATTCGATTAGGCATCCATCATTTCTCGTAAAAAAGAAGCCAAAGCTGAGGAACTTCAGGAAACCAAGGAGAAGTTAGCCAACCTAGAGAGAGAAGTGTCAGTAAAGACAAACCAGACTCGGGAATTCGATGGCGCCGAGGTTTTGAAGGGAGACGAGGTGAGTTGCCACATCTCATGGATCAGTGCTATGACAGTGAGGTTCTGTTTGAAATCACTGACATGTTCAGTTTTCTTAAGTTTATGTTGATGAGAAGTTAATCTCACTTTGTAAAACTTAATGAAAGCTGAAGTCATATTAAGACTTAAATAGTAAGTCTTTTTGAGGTAATATTGAAACATTCTGGATATAGGATATGAAAGACTGGTGAGATAATATTCTGGAGTTTCACTTACCTTTTTAAAATTGTGTGTGGGGGTTGTGCCTGTGAATGCAGGTCCTGCAGAGGTCAGAGGTGTTGGATTCCCCTGGAGCTGAAGTTATAGGTGCCTGTGAACCACCTGATGTGGATGCTGGGACTCAAGCCTAGGTCCTCAGAAAGAGCAGTGCATGCTCTGAGCCATCTCTCCAGCCCCAACGCTTTCACATTTTAGTTAAGTGAATTATATTGGATTTATTTAATATCAAATTATAAAAGCAAAGCAAAACCAGTAGAATCAAATAGATAATAAAACTATCTTTGTTGGTGAATGTATTTCCATAAAGAGCCAAGAAAACATCATTAAATTACTGTCTGTGGTACATGCTTACAAACTTTAATATATCGCATTTCTATGTTAAGTTTTGAGCAATGCGCTAATAGTTGCATTTATAGCAGCAGACTCATAAGTTAGTGAGACAAATAATAGTGATTACTGATGGCTGAACTCAAGCAGCAAAAGTACCATTCTGCATCATTTTTCATAAAGTTAACTCAAGAGCCACTGCAGGGTATAACCAGACACCTTGGATAAAGGAATGAATAAGCCCAGAGTCTTGTCTCAGCCCAGTTCTTTCTTGCTTAGCAGTTCAAGTGACAGGCCACACCTGGCTCCTGACACCTTTCCTGTGCTCTTCTTACTCTTATAGGCTATTGCATTTTATCTTAGCTCCTACCCCTCAGCAAAGGCTGTGCATGTCCAAACCTCATTTTGGACATTGAAAAGTTCTCCAGTTCATAATGTGAAAAATCAGCAGTGTTCCTCCACTGTGCCAAATAAATGAAAACAAAAAGCACCCTTGCTGCAGGTGTTTTTCTCCACTGCTTCTGAGTGTAACCTTGCAGTGTGGCTTTAGTCTGAAGAAGTAGTGACTTGGGGAAGGCAACATTTGGTTGAAAAAATTCCCTTTGAGAGCCAGATGTGAAACTCAAACCTGTCATCATGGCACTGGGGGGACCGGGCAGCAGGAATGATGGGACTCTTGAGGCTAGCCTAGTCTATAGTGTCTCAAAAATCAGGAACAACAAAGCAAAAAAAGAAACCTCAACCCAAATTTCTTTGTCTTTTAGCATGTGCTTCCAGATGACTATCAGACATAGCATATTTGAAATGATACTTGGAGGCTGAACATGTGCTTCATGGCATCTTTGATGTTCAAGAAACAGAAAGGTCAATTAAGCAGAAGTGTGGCGTCCAGTGGCCCATGCTGCTTACTAGCATTTTTGTCTAAGTGAAGGCCCAGTGACAGGAGAATCTGACTGCTGTGACCACAGGGCCCTGGATCATGTTTTGAATTCTCTCTATGCAAATGTGAGGGAAAAGAACCCAGTGACAAGCTGTAAGCTTTTATTATTGAGACATCATGTTGTGTAGAGGTATCGTATGGCAGACCAAGAATATTTTTTAAGTGGAAAAAGATAGCTTTGGAAATGTTATGGTCAACTTAATTTTTGTATAATGTCTGATCAAAGCCAGAAGAATTCAAGTAAATTATTTGGCAATTACCTAAAAGAACAGAAGGTATTGGGGAACATTTTGCATAATTTTATAAAGAACAAATCTTGGTAGACCAATTTTATTTTCAACTTTGATAGAGTGATAGGCCATATGGGCAAAAAGGAGGAAGTTTGTTCTACTTAAAATTATGTAAGATAGCTGGCCTTCACTGAAGTTTCTTCTTTGATATCACATGGTAGTCTCTCACACACACACACCCAAAAACCTCATATTTAAAAATTTATTTGTCAAAGCACTTGAAAAGAAGGTGTTAAAAAATAGTGGCATGCTGGGAGTGGTGGTACTCAAGAGGCAGAGGCAGGAAGATCTTGGTGAGTTCAAGGCCAGCATGGTCTACAGATTGAGTTCCAGGACAGCCTGGGCTAGATAGAGAAACCCTTTCTCAATAAACCAAAATAAATAAGTAAAATAAAAAATAAATATTGGCATAAAGCTGGGTGGTGACTGGCTCATGTCTGTAATCACAGCACTCAAGAGTTTGAGGCAGGGGGATAGCCAAAGTTTTGAGGCTAGTCTGGGTTACATAGTCTGTCTTAGAGAGAGAGAGAGGGATTGTGTGGTGTTTGTAGAGAGTGCGTGCAGAGTGAGGAATCGGGGCTGACATTCTTGAGGCTTCTTATGTGGAGCTCTGTGCTAGATGTTTTGCACATAACTTGTTTTCTTATTATAAGAACATTAGTATCATTTTTACTTTACAGTTTAATGGCACTCAGAGAAATGACAGAATTGCATAGTTAAGACTTGTGCAAAGTAGAATCTGTATTTCTGTTGACCTTGAACAGAGTCATTGACTCATCTGAGGAGTTTTCATCTGCAAAATGAAGATACTTATCTAGGAAAAGCACATTAAATAATTTATATAAAAGCTTCTGACAATTTACAGTTGCAGTCACCACATAGCATGTTGAGTTGGTCTTCTGCGGGGTACTGAAGCATTTATTTATATTGTTCTATTACTAAATAAAACTCAGGAGTCCCTCCCTCCCTCCCTCCCTCTCTCCCTCTCTCTCTCTCTCTCTCTCTCTCTCTCTCTCTCTCTCTCTCTCTCTGTCTCTCTCTCCTTCCCAGATCCAAAAGGACCCACAAATCTTTCTAAGCCCCTCCCTACTACTTCCTGTGTCTGTCTGTGTATCCTGGGTCCTCCAAAACCTCTATGGTGAATTCTGGACAGCTAGTTGCTAACTCCACCCTCTGATTCAAAGTAAACTTTATTGGCAGTCTTGGAGTGTCAGTGTGAACAAATATTCCACAACAGGGTGCCATTACACATAGCATGTGGAGTAGTCGTTCCATGCAGGTGCCACTACATGTGGGAGGAACATGCGGTGCTCTGGAGAGGCTAAGAACACAGGCTCTGGGATTTAGTCCTTTGAGTGCCACTCATCAACTAGATAGCCTTGGACAAATGTCTGCATCTCTTCACACTTAGCTGTAGATTGTGAGTGTATGGAATGTGTAGAATGATGAGAGCAGTAACTAACAATTCTTAATGTCCAGGGACAGATTAGCTGAGTAGCTGCTCTGTGAGTGAGTAGATGCTCTGAGAACTGATTGTATTAGTACCTGCAGGGTTCTCAGAACCCCAGTGGCATATGAGAAGCTCCAGTGTGGTGGCTCCTGATATGTTATGTTTTTGTTCTCACTAAGTGGAGAATCTGAAAGCTAGAACTATAGCTTAAATTTACAGCTTAAATTTTGAAACCAATGTTTTTCAGACTGGAGCTATTAGAAATAAATATGAAATATTTTCTAGTTCTAAATAACCTGGATTCAGGATGGAGTAAGGTAGTGCTGGTAAGAATTATTTTAACAGCTGTTCACTGAGCAGTTACCATGTGCTCAGTCTTTAAAAACATATTTTTGGTAATGGTTGTTGTAGTTGTCCCGACCCTCGGGACAGCAACCTAGAGTAAGAAGTCCAGGGAGGGGAATGGGGACAAGAGGCGCGAGAGAATGACTACAAGACAGGAATTCTGATCAAGTGGAAAATTTTATTTTTTCCAGGCTAGCTTATATAGTCAGTAGTATGGGGTAAAGGGGAGGGGGAGAAGAGGCCAAGAGCCAGGTGTTAGTTCAAGCAGGATGTTAGAAAACTATAGAAGGAGGATGTTGGCAAGGTAAAAAGTTCATGGGTGGTGGGGAGAGGGAGGGTTACCTAGGTGAGTGGTGGGGTGAGGGAGGGTTGCTTAGGTAAGTGGGCCTGTGGTTGGAACAAAGGATTGATGTCTGGGTCATGTTGTTCCTTCTGGGTGCTCATGCTTCTAGAAGCCATTTATAATCAAAAGACAGTTCTATAACCCTGTGGCTTGCCAAGTTTGGCCTAAAGGTTCATGCCAAGCTGTATGGCTCCCAACAGGTTGTCCGGCAGTAGGAATATACTTGTGATGGTAATCTTGCTAACATAATTAGAGTAAGAGACATGTAGTAGATCAGTGAAGCACCTATGAGCATGTCTGTCATGGTACCATGCCCAGTTAAAACTTTTTATTGTGTGTATCGGTGTTTGGTCTACATGTATGTCTGTGTGCCATGTGCATGCCTGGTATCTGTGGGGACCAGAGGAGGGAGTTGGAGCCCCTGGAGTTACAGAGACTTGTTAGCCACCATGTGTGTGCTGGGAATTGAATCCAGGTCCTCTGGAACAATGGTCAGTGCTCTTAACTACAGAGCTGAGACATCTCTGCAGCCCCCTGAATAGATTCTTGTGACATGAAAATTGGACTGTTTCCTATCCCCAATTCAATCCTTCCAGGGAGAAACAACTGACAATACATGGTTAAATCATATTAGGTCTATCAAATAATGTTATTCTATGAGTCTGAGAAATTTGAGTAGCACTATACCTTGTTTATTTATTGTGCCTTTTGCTTCTGAAAACAAGTCTTGAGATGTTTCCATGTCAGTACAGAAAGGCCAAAGAATGTCCCAGAATACCTGTGTGTAGATTTTAAAATAATAATTGCATGTGTTTTTGACACATTCTAATGTAGTTTTGTTTATTTTAGCAATAGAAACAGTTTTATCTTTTAGTTCTTTGTGTTTAAAAAATTGGCTTATGGTATTCGCTTTTTGGTTTTTCTCAAATGATTTATAATTTAGATTATTTTCACATTGTTTGGTCACTTTTAAGGGTTTTGAGTGGCTCAGGGTTTCTGGGGTGTGTGTACAGCCTTTCATAAAGTTCAGAGTTGTTAATGTTTTTCACACTACAGCAGAACAGCA